AGGCGGCGGGCTTGGGGGGGCAGATGGTGGTGGTGGTGGTGGTGGTGGTGGCGGAGGGGGTCGCAGTTTGGAGGAGGGTAGGCGGGGCAGGTGACGGAGACGACGGCGAGCGGGTGGGGGCAGGCAAAGGGGGTCGCCTGGCCGAGTTCGGAGAGGGTGGGCGGGCACATCGTTTGTGGGTAGGTGAGGGGGGCCGGCGGCGGATGAGGCGGCAGCTGATAGGCGGTTCGAGCGGACCAGACCGACTCGAAGCGGCCGTGGCCGGCGTGCGTGGGCGGTTGCGAGGCGTCGAGCCAATCGGCGTCCGTCTCGGCAGTCGCTTTCACCTCGACGTCTACGTCTACGTCTACGTCTGCGTCCACTTCCGCCTTCGTCTGCGCTTCTGCCTCGACCTCAACCTCGACCTCGACCTCGGCCTCGGCCTCCGCTTTCGGCTCCGCCTCTGCCCGCGTCGGCGCTTCGACGCGTCGGCGTTGGCAATTGCCCAGCGGCTCAGGCGCGTCGGTCGTCGCGTCGGATCGATCGAAGCGAGAGGGCTGGCTTGATCTGCTCGCGTCTGATTGGTCGAGCCTGGCGGACTGGTGCGGCCAGACGGCGTGAAGCATGTGCGAGAGGCCGAACGAGGCCGGGGGGGCGGGGCCGGGCGGGTAGAGGTGGGCGGCCGGCTGCGGATAGCCGAACAAGAGGCCGGTCCGACTGGAGGGTGGTGGGCGGAGCGGCTGAGAGGGCGACGTGCGCGCGGGGCTGTCGGAGGGGGCAGGGGCCGAGGCCAGCAGGTGGTCGTCGGGCTGGTTGTCGAGTCCGGCGGGCGGGTGGGGCGCCGGGGGCAGGAGGAGCGAGAAGTGGTGCATTTGCTGGTGCTGGTGCTGGTGCTGGTGTTGTGGGGGCGCTGGTGCGTGCTGGTCGAGCCGCGAGGGTGGGGAGGCGGGCGAGCCGGGCGAGGCGGAAGCCGAGGCGTTGGCCGAGGCCGGCGCCAGGTTGGAGTAGACGCGAGGAGACGGAAAGTGCGTCGCCGTCGCCGTCGCCGTCGCCGTCGCCGTTGCCGGGTAGCCCGAGTCGGCCGAATAAGCCCAGATCGGGGCTGTCGACGTGCGGTTGTTGTACACCGACGC